CCCCTGATCTCGAGTGATTGTGCAAAAAAAAAAAATAAAATAAATAGTTAAAGGTCCTTCTCCAAGCCTTAAGAAATATAACTTATCTAAAAGTGAAATTATTGCGGTGTGATTTTGTTTAAACAAATATGCCTTAATGTGGGATATTTTTTCTCCCAACGAAAAAATGTAAGTTAGAATAAAAGTTTGTTTTATGTAAAACTTTCCATAGTAATAATTTACACTACTACAATAAAATACTGAATTAGGTTAAAGCTTTTAGTACATCATTTCCAGGGAATGCCTAGGAGAGCCAATCATTGTGAAAGTTGGGGAAAGTCAAGAGAAGTGTCATATATAGAACACTTCCTATATATGATTAATTGTCCTAGGCAATTTACCAGCAACTTACCAAGCACAAGTAGTAATTACTGTGTTTTAAAATGTCTGTACATCTTAAATTACCAATTGTTTCCCTGCAAATCGATGATGACATATTTCTACGTTGAAAATGGATTTCAGAGCCAGTAATTGACCCCCTGAAGGCATCACGTCCATCACTGGTTGGTTCACAGACAAGAATGTAGCCGCGCAGGTTTGGAAACCCGAACCGCGACTGTTTTATTTACGTGTCTGGAATATTTCAGCGGTCCAACCCTCACTTGTTCAGTGTATTTTTTTTTTTTTTTTTTCCCCACTGTAAACACTCTACCGAAACTACTCAGAGACTAGTATGGCTGTTTGATGGATACGACAGGAAGAAGAGAAGAAACCGATGCAGCAAATGATTTTTACCTGCCAGAGACAGACTGATGGAGAGCCAGGGTTTCATTTCGTCAGTCAGGCCAGTCTGTGGTCAAATAACAAACAAAACTACCTTAAATGCAAACGTTTGCGTTTTTAAAGGTTTAGCAGTCATTTGAACACAAAATGCATTTGGAGAAATCTAATCACAAATTCTGCTTTGTTTTCAACACAACACAAACAGCGTCTTTAAAATTTAGACGAGCCTATAAATGGCTGTATAACTCTTACCGAAATGCGTTCGTCCTTCTCTCATGTTGTTTTTACACCGATACGGCTTCTAATGCATTGCTTGCTTCCTAATATGACAACTTCCTGTGTCTACTTCACCTGTCACAGTCGAGTCACACCTGTGTCTTAAAGAGCCAGGACCCATTTACATAACTGACAGTGAAAGCATTCCTGGGAAACCCCTGCACTTAACAGACGGTGCGCTTAAGTTTTATTAGCTATCAAAACGATTTTCAAATCATTTTCCATGAGGTTTCAATGTGAATTTGTTTTTATTATTTAGGAAAAACCTTTCTTCTCTTGATTCAAATATCTCAATGATCAGGTAACAAAAGAGAAATATCTGGAAATCCTTGCTGTTGAATTTTAAGTTATATCAACATGATTTCTGCTTTAATTGAGTGTTGACGGTTTTCAGACGGTTTCATTTCTGACTGATCATCCAGATTTGAACCATGGTATTTTTACTAACCAGGCCTGTTTTGTTAAGACAACCTGTGATGCTGTTGTAGAAAGCTAAATTCAATCTTGGAGAAAGGATCCACAAAGCTGAATGTTTCATACTTTTTTACATAATTAGAAAACAAGATGTATGTGTTTTTATAAAAATAAATAAAAACTTTCTGCTTCAAACTTTGAGTGTGCTTTGTTGTTTCTTATTCTCTGACTGACTGCCAAACCAGCCACTCAAACATGAAGTGAAATAAAGCATGCTTGTAATTAAGAATGAACAATTCTAGATTAGAAAAAAAACAGGTGTTGGTATTATCTCTCAAATCATTACATTCATTGACTTTATTAACTTTTATTATTTAATGTTTGTATTTAAATGTTTGACTGGACCTTTCCCACCTTCTCATTTGAAACCTATTGCAACTTTTACTGTTTTAGAAAATATGTACAGACTAGTTGACCCAGCAACAAAAACTCATGTCTAGTTAGCCATAAGTTTTGTTTTATTTTGTTGTGTGCTTTCTCTGATATCGCTGATGCCATTGTAAGATGTAATGTAAGACTTTCTTTTATATTCTCTTACTAAATAGTTTCGTAAGTTTCAGAGATGTTTCAGACTCTTGGCAAACTTGGCAAACATTAATAATCACTCTTGCATTATATACACTTCCTCCATAGTTCACCGATTGAGTTAAGACAAATGATTAATAGCCCTCTTGGTCCATCCACACAAGCTTAGCATACTTTGACACCGACTTCAGGATGCTGATGTGAGCCGATGGCTATCACTTTGCACATGGCTGACATGCACCATAAATCATCCACTGACATTACTTGACAGAAGTAGCCACATGCGGTGTATCCATACATACGAGGAGAAGTACTGATGCCACAGTTTGTTTTATTTTTCATATCATTCAAGAAGACTCTACAGTTCATTATGGTTGAGTAGGGACACAAACAGAGCTTGCAATAAATATTTTTTGGTCTTTACTGCACATCCTCACCCTGCGTGAACTCCGGCTCTAGTATTCCTCAGAAAAAAATCTCAATTATAACATGGAAACGAGCGAGAAACTAGGCCAGCATGTGGCCAGCACTCAACAAATCCCCCTTTCTCTCTTTGCTCTTCCATATTCCTTTTAAAAAAGATTGCTTCCTTGTATAGCTGCATAAAAGAAATCAAGTTGCAATTGTCAGTGCATTATTAGTATTTGCAATATTTCAGTGCAGTGGATTGATTTGGTGTAGGTACAATGCATGCCAAGAATACATCTGGTAAGTTGGATGGATGCTAACTGCCCTCGATACCCACTCCAGATGTATGCCTCAGAGAAAATGTTCAGGGCACTGTAATTTTGGAAAATAAAGAACATTGGACAATTCAGGTTAATAGTAATTGTTTTTGACACTGTATTATTCAGCAAAACTATCATAATCACATGTTTTTCTGATGTTGTGCAAACCACTTCTGCTTTCTCTTGCTCTCACAAAAGTCACATTTTTTTACAAAGCTCATTTCTAACATTTATTCTTTACATGAGAGTTGCAAAAACTAAATAATTAAAGTAGCATTAACAAGAATAAAAGACAGATTGATAAAATCAAAGAAGATGTTACTCAAGGTTCCTAAGCTAATATTAAACAAAGCTGTTCTTGGACAACTGCACTTCTTTATCTCTCATCAAAGTTTCTCAGTTGTATTAATCTGGAGCTTCAGGTCAGGCCAGGGATAGCGGCGCTGACCACTTCCACGTAGTAGGTCCCTGCATCTCAGGGCTCAGCATCTCTGATTCAAAGCTGGGTGGCAGTAACCCTGAAATTGTTCCAAATGGCTGAAAATCCTCCAAGCCAAACTCCTAGGATGACTCATTCTTGGTTTCTATGTGTCACGGTAGAGACTCCAATTACAGTTAGCACTATAATTAGGATTTCACTACCAGTTTGAACATATACTGGTTGAATCTGGAACTGGACTGGTGTTTCCTCAGGGATATTCTCTTTTTCTCTTCGAGAGGAAGGAAGTGAAAATAGAGATTTCTGTTAATTAGGCTAAAGAAATTTTGACGCTGCCTCCCACTTGGTGCACAGTACCCACGACTTCTGGCCTCTGACAGCTTCAGGAATCCAGAATCTATATTTATGATAATCTTTCTACTTGTTATTTCTATATTTGTGTTCATCTTTCCCACTCTATGCTGGCAGTAATTCTTCCCAGCCAGCAGGTGGTGGTATTTTCATGTTAAGTTTGTTATTGAACAGTATAATGAGTTCAGAAACACGTGTACAGTATAATTACTGACATAGGCAGTATATCAGTGTTCATTTAATCATTCTTCATCCTGTTTGTTGTTTACAGAAAGCACTGCTGTTAAGTATTTTGTGTTATTTTATTACATCTGAGACACATTAAATATTTGTGCCCTTAGTATTTGTATGATTTGACTACTGATGTATTCTAAATCACGTTTTTTCATCTTTATTTGTAGTTTCACTTGTTTGGCATTGAAAGCAAAGTCAATTAAAGTGGCATACGCCTGTCAATCGTCAAAGAGTTTATCTATCTGCACAACTGTTACTTGGAAGCACAGTGGGAGCAGAACACACTCACTTGTACCGTGATGTGTTTGTGTGAACCAAAAAATTGAACATTGCTTAATTAGCATTTGGATTCTCTTTTCATATTTGTGATATCTGCTTGTATGAAGGCCAAAAGAGATTATGTCCTTTATCTGTTAGATTAGTGCCACCCACTGGATAATTCCTGCTAACTACACTCCTCTGTGGACAAAGAGCTCTGTGGGAGCCACAGCTGTGATTACTGTGATTATACATAAATCACATGTAAAATACTGAGGGATTTATGATCACTTTTACATCATTTTTTTATCTAAGCTGCAGGTTGTGCCTCCTATGGAGAGGAGCAGTTGCATTAATCTCTGAATACTTTATGCTTTTTTCGGATGTGTATAATGTATGCGTAGCTGGGTAAACAAGCTAGTTTGGTTGCTGTTGTAAAGCTCACAGGTTAAAGTGTTGCAATAAGATGAAATCAAATGACAATTTTTGTGTGATTCCCCTAAACTTTTCCCAGAGAACAAAACTGCAGGCATTTCCCTTTACATGCCTGGAGATATTTTTCAGTAACAATGATTGGAAGAAATAAGAATAGAATAAATCATGTCCTCTGGTGCTTCCGCTGTACAATATAAAGCCAACACAATGTATTGTGTCTGCAGCCATAAACGTTTTGTGAAGAATAAGAGGTCCAGAGTACAAAGATCACTTTGTCTTTTCCTCATCCAAAGCATACTTTCACATTTTATCTCTGTTTACAAACATTACAACACAAGTTTCATGAATGTCCGGAGCTGAACATCCTGCATTGTTGGAAGGACTGAATGTTGGGGAGCAGAGCTGTGGTCACAGGTCAGAGAGAGTAGGAGAGGGTGTGGAAGGGGGAATATATTTCTTTTTTTTTTACTGTTGAAAGTTTGCTTATGAAAACTACAAAGAAAAAGAAGGAAGGACTGGATATACAGAAACACTGGGGTGGAGTGAAAAGAGGAAGGAAGCAGGTTTAAAACCAGAGACGGCTGCAAAACACACACACTGACTGGACAGCAAACAAGCCAGTGAAGACGAGAGGAAGGTCGCAAACGTTTCTTTTTCTCTGTTTTTGAGAGAAATCATCTCCTATTATGTGACCAAAAGCGCTCCGGAGGTGCTTCATTTGGGGCCATAAATCTATTTTCAGTCTGAACCGTGCTCCTCTTAAACACTCCGAGAACACCAAGTGAAAACCTCCGCGGTCCTGTTCGCCTCATCTTTCCATTGGTAAGGTGAATCCTTCACTTGCCGGTTTTGTCAGGTTAAATTCTCTGTAAACGACAGGAGAAAATTCCTGGCTGTATTTAATGGGATGCAGGTTGTGTTCCTGAGCCGTTATCAGTGTTTTCCCTCCCTGCGTTTTGGTTGCTCACTGTGCTTCAGGGGTTCATGTTTTTTTTTTGTTTTTTCTATTTTAAATGAAAGTTTTTGGCAGCAGAATGGTCTCTGTTTTGTTCCAGCTCCTAATTTTTGTGCTGCACTTCTTTGGATTCTGCACACACACACACACACACATGCACACACACACACACATGCACACACACACACACAAAAGGAAATTCAGGGACGAAAAAGAAAGATGTACTGAGCATTTGTATTCTACTTGTTATGGTGGAGAACACTGCCTTAATTGTTTATATATTTTCTCTGGAGGTGATGTTATTATTTTTGCTGTTTTGGCTCCCCTGCTGCCTGAGTACAGAGGAAATGGCGAGCTACTGCTGCTGCTGCTGCTGCTGTTGAGGTTTTGGACAAACTCCCCTCTCTCTCTGCTTCCTTTCAGCACCAGCAGGTGTTATGGATCTGCAGTGTCTCCGACGCTGGAAAGTTTTGCCACTTCTTCTGTTGTGTAAGACTGTTTTTGTTCTAATAATCATCCGCATTATTTTTGATTGAACTTAACGAGCCACTCTAAGGCACTTTTTGAAAGTCTCTCTGCAGGATGAGGCAGCAGAATACTTTTGTCGTCATCAAAGAAAACAGAAGTGGAAAAACTTTAGATTCTGCACTCTTACGTAAACGCAGGACTTCTTGTTAGCTGCGTCTTGCGTTAGTAACCTCAGTTCTGTTATTTACATGTCCTCCACAGTCTGCTGATCAGGTCAAGACAAATGATTAATAGCTCTTGTAGTGCATGCATGCAGCCTTAACAGGATTTGACACAGACATCAGGACGCTGATGGCTATCAGATTGCACATGGATGACATGCACCGTAAATCATCGCCTGACGTTATGCGACAGACAGTATATGCCTTGCATCCATTCATATTTGCAGCATAAAGATCGATTCACTGCATCATAGCATGTTTTTTTTTTGTGTGTGTGTGTGAATGTTACTCTCCATGTAATAAGAAAAACAGACAAAAATAAAAGAGCTTGCAGTAACAACTTCTCCCCCTTCCCCCCTCTTGTTCTCAGTGCCAGGTGGATTTTGGTGTATGTCAGTTCACATCCTGAATGAGCAGCCTGTCCACGTAATCCCAGGCTCCAAGCTGGTTCTCACAGCTCGGATCGAGAAGGATCTCAGGGAAGAGATCTCCACGATAACGTGGACACGGGAGCCTGAAACCGGATATGATCGGACCAAAGTGACGCTGGCTACGTGTCCTGCCAAAAACCCAAAGTGTTCTGGTGGAAAGCCAGATGTGCAAGTGAGTTTGAAGCAGCAGGAGACGACACTTGAGATGAACGGATACAGCACAGAAGACAGGGGAGAGTACTCTGTGACTGTGACGGATCGCTCAGGAGCCAATACCACCGGACGCTGCATCGTCAGGGATTACGGTACAGTATGATGCGCGGCATTTAGAAAGTGACAATAGGGTGTGTGTTTTAAAAAAAATGATTATAGGTTTGCATCCCATATTTAACTAAATACATACAGTTCACATAAGGCCACATGTATCATAGTGAAGACAACAATCCAGATGTGAATGAAAGAAAACCTTCCACATGTGGGACATTTTTCCACTTATTTCATGTAACTCTAACATTCCCATGTGTTTTACATGCTTCTAAACGATAACATTTTAAAAAATTGTGGAAACTTGTTCCACATTTATTTACTTGTTACCACACCTAAAATATATTTCCAAATGTGTTTCACGTGTCAAAACGCATTTATTCTCTAAATATGAAACGAATGCAACCCTGGCTATTAAATACAATTAATATTTCTGACAAAACTGAAAGAAAATGTCATTGTCCTAAATTTTACGCTCTGCTCTATTTGTTATTTGCCATTTAAAGCCTGTAGATTACTTCATTTTGCACAGTCAGCGGCTACACTCTTTTATGAGAGTACGTCACATTTTCCCTGTCTTCAGAAAGGTCAGCAGATGTTGAAGCCATTAAGGTGCAACAGTTACTTGTGTTTTTGCATAAAAGCGGTTGAAGTGATAATTTGGACTTTCTGGTTTTGCATTCAGCGTACTCGATAGTGCTGTGAATTTCCCTTAACTTCAAATCAGAATTCGTTGTGTTCTTCTGAAAGTTGAATGTCTCGTTTAAAAATGTAACACTTGAAATTAAATTTCTCAGAGGCTTTGTTCTCCTGTTTCTCCTTTTTGCTTGTGTCTCTCCAGATGACTCCTCTCTCGCTGTAGCTTTCCAGCTTTCAGTTTTCCCTTCATCCCATTTTTTCTGACTTAATACCTCCCTCTCTGATCTCATTATTGGCTTTGAACCTGAGCCAGTCTCTCCTGACAGCATTAAATGTCTCTCAAGGTTCTTTGTCTTGGACCCTCTTTGACAGCGCGCACCATTATTCCTGCTCTATAGCAGAGAGAAACCCACAGCAGAGCACTTCGTACCTCCTGTTTCCATCTATCTCTCAGCTTTACCTACTTGCCTGTCATCATTTTTTGACCTCATCACAGTTTCCGTGTCTGTGCAGAGGCAGTTCATCATGTCTCCGTCAGCATCAACGTGTCTTACTCCTTGCTGGTTTGCCGCGAGGCGTGGGGGACAGACCCCAGCTTCAGCTGGCTGCACGAGAGAGCTGCCGTCACCCAGCAGGTGGGAAAAGTCTCCAAGGATGGACACATGCTGATTGTAACCATGACTCCCCTTTGTGGTCACTTCACCTGCATGGTTGGCAACAAGTTGGGATACAGCTCTGCCTCATACACTGCAGGTATGAGGATACGTTCACACACACGATGTGCTTCTCTGACCTTTCCGAATATTTAAATGCAGTTTGGATCAGTGAGAGTATTAGTTTTACTTCTGCACTAGTCAGATGTTTGACTTCAACAATGGGGTGTAGAATACATGGCTAATTATGATGGTCATTGCCTCTTTAATCGCTTTAAGAAATTAGATTTTAAACTTTAAGAAGTTTTTGATACGCTTAAAAATTCCTGTTAAATTAATATAAGTGGAGCATTTTTTAAAATTAGATTCTTATCCCCACATTTATTATGTAACCACACACAATTAGGAAGACAGCAAGTGATGCACATAAAAAAAAGGTTAAATCTCTCAAAGAATGGACAAAAATATCCTTCTCTACATAGCCATTTGGTAAATTAAAATGTTCTTGTGAAATCCATTTATTTCTGTAGCTCCACTATTATGTGAAAGGTATCGCATAGATAAATTAGACACCGACTGATCTCTTAACACCTATATTTCTATTAATCATAATAATTTTCCACTTACAGCTATTGAAAACAAATTTGAAATTATAAATCTCCAACAGTCTCATATCAGACCAGTAAAATAATATTTTTCAAAGAATAAAGTTGAGCTCAATGAAAAATATGTAAAGTATTCTAATTTACTGAATATGATGTATTTGTGCAAATTGAGATATTCTCACTATGCAGCTGAAATTACAGCAATAGACAGTGTTGATTCGCAGACGCTGAATACAAATACACGCCTCACTTGCCTTATTTATTCATTGTTTTATTACATTTCGAAATCTATATATGTCAATTTGTGTATTTTTCACAATAAATAACATTTTGTCTTGGTCTGGCACGTAAAATACCACCTGGTAGTCGCAAAGGGACCAGATGTAAAAAGCCTGAAATCATATGAATACTTTTCCGTGACACAAGATGTATAAAGAAATTGCTTTACAAAGTATTACTTTTACTTTTGTTACCTAAACAGGAAGATCACAGCGAATATAAATGTGTTTTGTTGTCTTGTTTAAAGTCGGCCTCTCTTTTGGCTTCATGGATTTTCCGACATCAGACTCCCTACCTCGTGTCTGTCTGAGCATCCTGGCTGCACTTTGTTCTCGCGTATTGTATCTCCTGTGCTGTTTTTCTGATAAAGGATTTTCCACAGTGTGATCAATAAATCACTGTCGCTGCTTGAGCTGCTGCCGCTTGCAAAGCCGCTAAACAGGCGAGACAAATGCAATTGTCTTCCAAAGAGCATGATGATCCAAAGGCTGTCTGGGCACTTTCTGTTATCTTCTTCTGTTTTCCCGAAGTCTACAGACTTGTTACAGTGAACCTTTCATGTGTTTTAGAGGAGACATGTCAGATGTCTTGTTTTGCTTTCCCTTTTCATTGTTTTTTTTTTCTTTCTTTCTTCCTGTGGCTCATAGCACCTTGTGAAAGCGAGGGCAGAGGGACGACGGCGGCTGTGGTTTGTCTTGTCCTCCTGCTGCTGGTGTGTGGAGGAGTGCTGGCGTTTCTCTTGTGGAGGTACAGTACCAAACACAAACATTATGTCAGACACAAATCTTATTTCAGGCTACGCTCTGAAGATAAAGCCAATGCTGCGAGAGAGAGAGAGGGAGAGAGAGAGAGAGAAAAAAAACAATAATAGCACAGGCAGAGTGAAACAGAAAAATACGACATGGCATCCTCCCACACGCTATGCAACATGACAGGCCAGGTTGCATCTGCTGACAAAACAATTGTCTTTTTTTTTTTTACTTGAGTCTGTTCACAGTTTGTCACTGCTGTTTGATCTAAATTGAACTTTTTTTTTTTTCCAGGAGGCGCAGGGAGACTAACATGGGAGAGAGGTTGTACGAACACACAGACGACACAATCTAAAAAAGATCAGAGCTGTTGCTAAAAAGTCTCAGAGGAGAACAGTGGACGGAGCCGCACAACGAGGGTGGAAACTTCCTGCCCTGTGAGCAGTGTGACCTCAAGCTGCACGGAAACAATGTGGAGAGTGAACTGCTTCCAGACAAATATAGAAAATACCTACAAGTGGACATTCGGCTCACAGTGCCTCCTCCTCTGCCTGAGAATGTTTTTTTGTTTAAGCGATGTTTAATTTGACTTCTTTATGTTTTGTGGTCAGTAAATTGCTTAAAAATGTATTACATGAAGTTTAACGATAATTTAAGTCTGAAAGAATAGGATGCTTGGATATTCATCTGTGCTTTGGTGAGATTTCCTCTCATTTGCTTTTATTTCCAGGGTTCACTATTCAGCTTACATGCACACACATTTAGAGCTAAGCAGCGAAAGCAATTGAAAAAGACTTAATTAAAAGCAGATCCAGCTCAAGGTCAAGTTGCTACACATTTATGAAAAGTCTGGAGAAGTCTGGAAATTGATTCGATCTTTTTTGTAAGTCAAGATAACTATGAAAAAGTAGTTACATTTAAACACTTATTGAGTTTTCTAAGGGATGAAGACGTATTTTGTAAAATGAAGTGCTTTTTAGAATAATTTGTGCTCAAAGTACAGGGCAGAGGGGCAGGAAGAGATTCAAAATCAAAACAAATCAACAGAAAGGATCAGAGTAAAGGATCACAAATTGTGCTTCAAAGAAACTTTGTGTGTGTGTGTGTATGTGTGTGTGTGTGTGTGTGTGTGTGGTGTGTGTGTGTGTGTGTGTGCATGTGTGTGTGTAGGTGTGGTGTGTGTGTGCGTGTGTGTGTGTGTTACAGATTTAAAATGTTAAGACTAGATGCCTAAAAAAGCTGTGACATAGCCCTTTACTAGGGCTCCAACATGCGTTGCGTTGTTAAAGATTTGTGAAATCTGAGGTAAATGTTTTGTCCTCAAACATCTCAAATGTTTTTTCTTTGTTTCTTTCTTTTGTTTTGTTTTTTTATTATTTCAAAAAATGTTGACATCTGAGTCAGGGGCTGGGTTGAGCAACCATAAAAAACGGATCCCTGATATGTTCATAAGCTAAGTATATGAAGCATTATCTCTGTTCAGACTTAATTAAATCATGACTCAGTTAACATAAGTTTCTGATACAATTTCTTATTGAAGCAACAGGGGGAAGGAGGCGGGAGGGGGGGTAGGAGGGGCTGCACCCTCACAATTTGCCAACACCTCAGCTGTCCCTGCCTTGAAGATTCAAAAGAAGAAATGGCACAAAAGCTCTACAAGGAAAACTGGTTTCATCCGTATTTGTCATGAGGTGGTGAGGTAGGTGGTGAGGAGAGAACGCTGAGACCCAGGTTATGGTGAAAAGATGATTTAATGAAGTGGCTCAACACGGTCCAGTCAGGCAGCACGGCAGGAACAATTAGCTCACAGCTAACAACCGGTAGCAACTGACAATGTGAATCTTGAGCTTAGCAAACCAGGACTGTACAGTTCTACTGGAAAGCAATAGACACGACGGACAACGACAAATTTAGACACGACGAGGATCCGACGAGGAACACAGACAACAGGTGGGTTTAAATACACACAGGGTAATTAAGGAAACGAGACACACCTGGGGATCAATCAACGGGGAGGACAGGACAGAGACTCACAGGGAAACAGGAAAACATAGAAAAACTCAAAAATAAACACACAATAACACGGATCTTGACAGTATTCAATCTGGAGAAACTCAGACAGAGAAAGAAAGCGATTAAAAAAGTTTAATGACAAAGTTCAAGTCCTTTGGAGTTCAGGCCCCGGCCGAGGACGTCGAGCTGGAACTTCGATAAGCTCGATAAACATTCCTGATGTTGCATAGGAATGTAATCCCCCCAGGGCCTATACTGGTGGTGGAGGTCGAAGAAGGATGTGCGCCTGAAGAGCCAGGAGCTGAAGGTGGAGATGGGGCGGAGGTGGGTTGATCGCAGCTGGTAAGCAGAGGAGGCCATGGATAAAGGTCCTTATCAACTGGAGCTTGATCGATGATTGGCCATGGCGTGTCTTGATCCAGCGCTGATAGGTCCAGGGTGATGAGGGGGAGGCACTGATTGATGAGGTAGGTGAGGCTAGAGAGTCTTCCAGATTGAATTTGCGCCAAAGCTTCATTTGGAAAAAATGAGGATTTATCTGCTGAACAAGAAAGCAAAGTTCAAACTACAGGGAACATAATGCAACTTTAAATAATAAAAAAATATATCTCTTTGTGATGGTACGTATAACTTGAATACATAATATATGCAATAAATAAATAAAAAAATGTGAAAAAGTTCAAAACTCAGAAAACATAAAATCTTACCAAGTATTTTTGGTTTAGTTTCTAGTCCATGTATCTTAGTACACTTGAGATAAGACAAAACTAACTTACAAGTAACTTTTCAAGAGTTGTTTTAAAAATTAATTAATGTTGGTGAGGAAGTACTTGTTCTAATGTCAGATTATTACATTTATAAGAAGGGAAAAATGTTTTATTAAAAGTGAAATAATAAAGTCAAATTAGATCAAAAATACCTGGTAAGATATTATGTTTTTGCAGTGAAAGGCTATTTTGTAGGGTATTTTGTAGTTTGTAAATGAATATACAAATTAGAAGTGCTTTATAGGGGTTGTGACAGACTTCCATGCAGAAAAAGTTTGTGGTGAAAGTTATTTTCAAACTTTATGGCAGGAGTCCTGAGTTTATTTTTTGCGTCCAACCCGCTATTGGCTGCGGCTCAATATTTTGTGATCACGCTGTGAATTCAGTTTTCATTTTATTTTCTGTCAGTTTTTGTTTTTGCTCCACAAACTGAACAAAACGTTCTTGGTGTAGATCTAGAAATGGCAGAGTTGTGTCCAAAAATAAGACTGGAGAAATTATCGTGCTCTGCCTTATTTTTGACAGTGCACTCAGTGCACTTAAGCCTTTTAACCTCCAGCATTGTTTCTGATGAGCTCCGAGAAGCCACATGAAGGAAGTGGAACCAGACAGGTCAAATGTGGGACACGATTTCTTGGGTGTGAGAGGAAAGTGGAACAAAAACAGCTGTCATCAAAGTTTTGAAATGGCTTTGGAGTTTTCCAAAGCCGAGTTATGTTTTATGAAAAGATGTTTTATAATTTAACAGGGAAGTTGCTGCATTCTCAGTAAGATCTCTATAATATTGCCAAACTTTAAACTGATGTGATAGATAAGATCTTCAGGTCCCTGAGGGTGTATCCTGGTGCTGAGCAGACAGTGATGAAATATTCTAAAAATCAGAAGAAAATGTGTGTTAATACAAATCTCAGCTTCAGAATGTGAGTCTGCTTCCGATCTGCAATAATTTCCAGTCAAAGAAATGGGACATACATCGGCAAAGTTTGCAAATGAAATGTTTAAGAAGCGAATTGTTACTTTAATGCACACTTCGGCTTTTTGTTAAATTCCAGTCTGCTACATTTCTAGTTGTGTTATATTTTTTTGTTTGTTTCTGTGCCTTTCTTTAGCTTCCCAGCAGGCTACATATGGAGCTGCAGGGGAAGCTCACATATGAGGTGGAGGTGAACCTAAAAGTTGCATAACCCAAGCTGGAGGTGTACCAAGATGTTTTATACAAAAAAAAAAACTTTTTCTATTGTCTTCCTTTCTTGGTTATTAGGTTTTTTTTTGTATTTATTTATTTAAATTTAGCCTTAAAACAAAATTTCACTCAATATGTATATTATAAATGTATGAATGACAATAAAGTCTGTCTATCTCAGAGATAGGAACCATATTTGGCAGCTTTCAAGACCAGACATGTTTCCCCTGGAGACTGTAGAGCCTAGCGAAATATTTTTATCTGCAGACATTGAGCTAATGTCACAGACAGTCACACCACAGAGTAAGAAATCAGCACAGAGCCACAACATGTTACACCATAGTGCTAGTTTGAAGATGACAAATAGCTATACTGTGCTCCCGTTTACTCTCAAACTTTCTGTCAGCACACTGAAAATAGAAATGTGATTAATACGTATTTAGATTTGTTCGTCTCATTTTCCTGAAGGTGAATTGAAAAGTTTTGAAGGAGAAAAAAAAGAGATTATATTGGGACAATGCAAATCATTTTGAAGAATAAACTGTTTCAGCTTTTTTTTTTAATGGCAATAAAACGTTTGTATTTTTAGCAGCAGGAAACCCGTGAGCCACAGACAATAACATCATGCAACATGAGTTTAATGATGCTAACATGCTGAGTTTTGCAGGATATATAAACTGTTCATCATCGCTACTTGTGAAGAAGGATAACAGTGTCTAATCAGCACTTCAGCTGACAGGAAAGTAATTATGTTTGCAAGTTTTTAGTAATAAAGCTGTCACTGTGAAGGGAGTAAAGGTTTGGATTCATTCTCTTTGTGAAACGAATTTCTCTTTAAAGACGCATGAAAAATGATCCTCGCTAAAAATCACTTAATCTTTATTTGGAGAGCCTGCGTCATACAGAAGAGAGTCAAACAAAGTGTTTTGCATTGAACATAAAAAAAAGATGACAATTCTAGACATTTTAAATAAAAATAATTATCAAATCAGAAGAATAAAACAATTACAGTGAAATAGAAAAAATATATTGCGCAGTGAAGAGAAACTGGAAATAGAAACATTTAAAATATTTTTTAAAAATTTGATGACAATACCAACTGATTAATGACCAAATTTGAAGTCAATATCTCAAAAACCTTATGAAGAGTTTGTTTAAGTTCAAGGTGAGTAAACGTCAAAACCCAAATTGGCCGCCTTCCTGTACTTTCTTTGGCTTGACAGGAATATATCTTTGTACCAGATCTCTTATGTAGCCTATTCCAGATTAGGGGGCGCTGTAGAGCAGTTTTGCCATCCCCCTTTTTGATTTCGATAAAAAACATTTGATTTCACAATTTTGGGCCAAGTTTGTTCAGTTTTCACATATGTTCAGGTACCAAATTTCCATTTTTGGAGACAGAGTGACAACAAATCCAGCGATTACATTAGGGCTTTGCAGCACTTTTGCTGCTCAGGTCTAAATACAGAAGAAACAATCAAAGTTTCTTCTCATTATGATCCTAATCAATAGAGTTTTCATCACATAATTTTGTCAGTAATCAGATTAATCAGAGAGGCATTGCCAGGCTCAGGGCCCTGACTGGGTTGTGAGGAATTTCTGAATAGCAACGAGGAACAGATGCATTAAAGCGTTAATAAAACAGGACTGCATGCTGACAGCTTTCTGTTATCTCGCAGATGCACATGGACTCAGACATTCAGATTTCTGTTTATATCATGAGGACTGGTTCGCTGATTTTTAAATATCTTAAACTGTGACTCCAGTTATTTGCTGCTGGATTTGTTCCCCAGAACCGTGTCCATACAAACGTGATGTTAAAGGCCTGACAAAAAGGTGAATGACTGGTCTGGTGTGATTAGAGAGAAATGTGACTGAATATTTATAATCAAAGGCTCAAAGACACTGATTTTTTAATTTGTGTTCAGAATGTCTTAACCTTTGCAGACTCTTTGAGACATTTTGGAGGTTCATTGGTGGACTGCTAAGTGTTTCATGACAAGGTGTCATGTCTGCTCAGTTAATTCAAATCCAAAGCTTTAATTTATCTCAAAATATAACCATCAGGTCTTGCTAAAACATATTGGTCTTTTTTTTTTTAATACAGAATAAAAGCTAGAACTTCTGACTCATATAAAACTCCTTCAATACGAAAATATGAGAATTAAAAATCAAAGAGCATAATAACATTTTTGGAGATGTGTCAGAGATAGTTGACTCTGTGTGTGTGTGTAGTCTATAACCTGCATGTAATCTGTACGCATATACGTGCTGTTCCAGTAAATATTCTCTGCCAGCATCATGTTGACAGATCATTGAAGTTTGAGGATAACATATCTCTGAAGCTGCAGGATATTTGACTTCTAAGCTCCTCCGAGAAACTCAAACAATTATTTCCAGGCTTGATTTAGTCTTCCACCTTCATACGTACCGTTTGCAGAGTTGCCATCACCTCTCTTGGACCTTTCGTTGATCCCTGACACCTGTTTTTCATTCTCACGTAGTCTATGTTGCTTTGAGGGCGTCTGATGTCATGAAGTGGGCTATGGGGAGAAATAACAGAAA